AATCAGCTCAATGGACTCCACAGCGGTTACTCATAATTTACACCAGGGTGATGAAGTGGAGAATTCCTGCTTCTCTAACCACTCAACTAAACACCCTCCCAGAGCTTGGAAGAGAACCCAGGAGTCCTGACTCCCAGTTCGCTCCGTCATTTAACCCACTAAATCCAACACCCCTCCCAGAGCTGGAAATACAGGGCAGGAGTTCTGGCTCTACACACTGGACTCAACTCCCTCCCACAGCTGAGAACACAAATGAGGTGTCATGACTGCCAGTCCCCTCCTCTAACGACTACATCAGACTGCATCTCAGCTTTTGTCCCAGTGACTCTCCATTGCCATCAGCAACGACTGTTGCGAGTGACAATGGAGGGTCATTGGTCTAGGGTAGGTGCGTGAGAGTGATTCTCTAGGGGCCAGCGGCCAGATCTGGGGTTTCGGCCGCTGGCTCCTGCCAGCCGGGGTCTCAGCCCGCTGCCAGCTTGGGGTTCCTTCCCCCAGGCCAGCAGCAGGCGGCTGGACCAAGGCTGACAAGGGGCTAGCAATGGGAACCCCAGAGTCGCAGCGGGCTGAGTGGCTCAGCCCACCCCAGATCTGGGGTTTCGGCCTCCGGCTCCTGCCAGCCGGGGTCTCAGCCTGCTGCCAGCCTGGGGGTTCCTTCTCCCAGGCCGGCAGCGGGTGCTGAGTTGCACTGGAGGTGGGACCCAGGCTGACAGGAGCTGGCAGCGGGAACCCCAGAGCAGGGGCGGGCTGAGCGGCTCAGACGGTGCCGCGGGCCACCAAATATCGTCTCGCGTGCCACCTTCGCACGCGTGCTGTAGGTTCCCAACCCCTGCTCTATACACTGGACTCAACTCCCTCCCAGAGCTGGGAACACAAATGAGGTGTCATGACTGCCAGTCCCCTCCTCTAACTACTACATCAGACTGCATCTCAGCTTCTGTCCCAGTGACACTCCATTGCCATCAGGAACAACTGTTGCGTGTGACAGTGGAGAGTCATTGTGCCAGGGTAGGGGCAGGAGAGTGATTCTCCAGCGTGGTACTTGGGGCACTCACCAGGTGTCTGGAAGATCCAAGTTCAAGTCCCTGGTCCAATGGCTATTTAATTCTTGATACAAAGAGGAGCAGCTTCAACAGGAGAGACTGAGACTGTCTCATTTCAGAACAACCTATAGCCTAGCTGCTCAGGCACTCTCCTGTATGTTGGAAATTCAAATCCCTTCTCATCATCAGTCAGAGGGAGAGATTGAACCTGAGTCTGTCACAGGCCAGCCAAGTGCCCTAACCACTCAGCTTCAACTTATGAGGAGTGTCTGTCCCACAAGTACCCTTTCAGCAATTTAATAGACAGAAGAAACAAAAAACTGAGAACTAGACACAAACTGATAGATAGATACAAGATTCAGAGAGTGAGAGAGAAACACAGAACTAACACAAACTAACAGGTAGATAGAGAAGTAAAAACAAACTAATAGAGAAAAGTAAAAACAAACAGAGAGCAGTAACAACAAACTAATGTATATATAGAGAAAAGTAACAACGAGCTGATAGTGTTTGTCACAATATTTGGACAACTTTAATGTGAACTCTTCAATCCATTCTAAAAAATATGTGTGTCAATTTGATCAATTCCCCCACTCCCAATAGAAGGAAACTGAGGCATGAATATTCTGCCCCCTCTTTCCTAAGATAACTGCTTTGGACTGCCTCAGTTTTCCATGCCCAAATTGAGCTAAGACTGAAAGTATGAAAAAAAAATCTAATGTCACTTACAATTTCATCCTTAAAGAGCCTCTCTGTCACCCCCAAATATATTTAATTGCAAGAGCAAACTTACGATGCCGGTCTCTGAGATGTCTTTTCTCCTCCAGCTACAGAGTGCAATTGGTTACCCCTCTCTCTCTAGCCCCATGCACACCCCTCTATCGATCTATCTCTCTATCTAATGCCCCGATCATTGTATTATGAGGCCTTTCCCCCACCACACTGAGGCTGAGCTGCTGGAAATACACTGAGATCTGTGCTGTCTGCAGATGAGCTGCCTGTCAAAAACTTTGGTGCTGAGGGGAGGTGATTTATCCATGTCTGTTTTCTACGGGCTTGAGGGACTCACTCCCTGGAGCCCTGAACAGTCCAGAGCCAACAATATTTTATCTTGCCTTCTACTTCCCTGAAGAGTTTTCAGAAACTAAAATAATCACAATTGCAACGAGGCAGCAGGGTCTAAAGCAAAGATTGTGAGGCGAACACTGAGCGCACACAGGATTGTACTCCAGAGATCTGACATCAATTTCTAGCCCTGCTCCTGACCTGCTCTGTTACCTTTGGAAAAGACAGCCCTAGGGCTGTCTTTCCCCTCACACCCTTTGCCTGTCTTTTCTACTGTAAGCTCCTTGGGGTGGAGACTGCCTCTTATCTAATAAAATGGACCTCTCATATCAGATGCAACTATCGGATAATTAATTAATTATTATTTAAAAGCTTAGGTCCAAGGTATCCTGAGATCTGATCCCAACTATTCCTCTGCCTTTGTTCCGTATCTTCGCCACTCCATTCCTCAAATTGTCATCCATCCAATTGGGATACTACTTACAACTTGGAGGATAATTCATAATGAGTAGAGATGCTCAAAAAATCTTCCTGGCAAAACAACTTTTTGAAGAAAAATTGGTTGTCATTGAAAATATTTTAGAGTGGAAAAGACTCATTTTGAACTTTTTTCTATGGGTTTTTGTTTTTTCAGTGGTGGGAAGTTGTTTTTGTTTTTGTTTTTCTGAAAACCTGGAGATGGAAAAGGTTTTTGTATATTTTTTTAAGGTTTGGGGGGGGAAAGTGTTCAATATCAGAAATCTTTTTTTCCAAAACTAGAAAATATTTACCATAAACGTGCTGTTTTACAAGAGAAGTTTATTGAAAACCAAACGCTTTTCAGTCTTCAGTTTCATTGTTTTGCCCATCCAAAAGCAATATTATGCGATGTTTCTATGAAAACAAAAAAATTGACATTTCCCACAAAAATACAATTTTCATTTTTGACCAGTTTTAATAATGAGTAATTATACTCAATTAAATGCATATGAGTTCATGTGGGTGCAACGTTCATTGCAAATTTATTTGACAACATCTGCTTGTTATAGATCATAGGAACTGTCTAACTGAGTCAGACCTTTCGATCATGCAGTCCAGTATTCTGTCCCTGACAGTGGCCAGTACTACCTGAGTCATAGGAAAGTCTAAGTGGCCCTATAGAGGACAATTCTAGAATAACCTGTCCATGGTGGACTCTCATCATCATCATCAGCTAATGAATAGTTTATAGCGTGAGGAAGGTGAGTTTCTACCCCTCATAGAGTTTTATCTGCTACAAAGTAACTGCATGCTCTCATTATCGAGATAGGCTGCAGTGCTCAAAGGAACCAACTGGATTTGTGTTTTTAAATCCCATTCACTTTCAACAGGAGAGGAGTGCCCGGCTCCATTAACCCTCTTTGAATATCTCACTTAGTTTATTATTAATTACTTTTTTGTAGATTCCAACACTGACAACTTTCAAATCAAGATTGGATGTTTTTCTAAAGGATCTGCTCGAGGTATTATTTTGGGGATGTTTTATGGGCCGGGTTATACAGGAGGCCAGAATAGACAGTCACTATGGTCCCTTCTGGCCTTGGAATCTATTAATCTAATTTGAACTCCACCAAAAATGAGAACAAATTTTCTCCAAAAACCTCACAAAATGGTAGATTTAAAAAAGAAATTCTAAATTTCTATGAATT